CAGTGGTAGAGTGCATGCTTAGCATGCACAAGGTCCTGGGTTCAATCCCCAGTGTCCCCATTAAAATAAATAAATAAATAAACCTAATGACCTCTACCCCACAATAGAGGGGAAAAAAATTTTTTTTAAAGGAGAAAAGAAACACTGAATCTAAACATAAGTGGACTGTAGTTAAGCCCAAATTGAGGGACATCCTACAGTATTTACCGCCCTGTAATCTTCAAAAGTGCCAAGGTTCACCTGAAACTAACATTGTAAATTGACTACATCTCAGTAAAAAATAAGAATAGTAAGTAAGTAAATATAAGAAGGTTTTTTTAAGCGCCAAGGTCAAGAAAATAAAGGAAAGACTGAGGAAACTATTCCACACTGAAGGAGACCAAAGAGACATGACAGCCAAACACAGTGAGTAATTCTGGACTGGATCTTTCTCCTCTAAGAAACATTACTGGGACAACTGTCAAAACTTGGGCTCTAAGAATTTTATCATACTAAATAAAGTATTAATTTTCTTATTTTGAAAAAAAAAAGAAAAACATAAGACTTTTAAGATAAAGGAGGAGCATCTGTCAAGCTAAGACTAAACTGAAATCCAAATCAATGGAAATGAAAAGGCATGATCAATGTAGAGTATTGGGATATTTGGTTAGCTATCTATAAAATAAATCAGCTTAGATTTAGGTAGGGACCTTACACCATATATCAAAATCAATCCCAGACTGACTAAAGAGCTAAATGGAAAAAAGAACAAAATCATATCTAATGTGATGGTTAATTTTATATGTCAACTTGACTGGGCCATGGGGTACCCAGATGTTTGGACAAACATTATTTTTTAAACATTTTCTTTACTTATTTTTATTTATTATTGTATTATTATATTTTTGGCAAGGGGAGGTAATTAGGTTTATTTATTTTAAATGGAGGCACTGGGGATTGAACCCAGGGCCTCATGCATGCTAAGCATGCGCTCTACCATTTGAACTATACCCTCCCCACTGGATAAACATTATTCTTGATGTGACTGTGAGGGTGTTTGGGGGTAAGATTAACATTTTTTTTCAGTTTTTAGTTTTCAATGAACTTGTAAACAAAAAAGCTCCCATTTCAAAATAAAAACAAAATCCCAGATCATATAGATGTTTACAGTGATTACATTTATCTAAGCAACATACATACATGTTCAGTTGTAAGATGTTAACTAAATTTCCGTGACAAATATGCTTTTTTTTTAATACCAAGAACATTATAGAGTTAATGCAGAGTCCTAAGGATAATCTAGTAGTCACTAAATTTTTCTTAAGTCTTCACTTTAGATGCTGTTATTTCTAGCACAGGTAAGCAGGTAGAGTATTTCATATGCTCAAACACTGGAATCTTTGGTTGCTACCATATCAGCTGGCTTGCAAACAAGAAGCCAACCATTTTAAGAATGTTTTAAGTGAACAACTTGCAAACCCCAGGATGGATAAACTCTAAGAACACACAATTGTGAGCATTTACAACCATCACAACTGTGGCTGAAGACTGTTCATGCCGTTCTTCTGAAAGGAGATCTCAAAGCAGTATAGTTCAAAACAAAAGATTTTAACAAAAAAATTGGCATATGCACAATTTCTCCACCAATTTGTGTGTCAACCATTTAGTTTACTTTTCCACTTGAAAAATGCAATAGAAAACTGGACACCATGTTTCACTATCTCAGTTAGTATTCACAATTACAGCGGCTACAACTCGGGACACAGCATCGCCAATGCCGCCCAGAGCCAGTTTATACTGAAATTAAGTTCTTTACGCCAAATAAATGGTTGTCCACAACCACTGGCTAGTGTACATATGAACTAAAATTTCTAGATTTGGGGAGAAACAAATGCTGCTCCGATCATCTGCTCTGCTGCTTCTGTTCCTCGATTCATGCTTGGAAGCCTGTGGGCGTTTGGGCCTGCTGACCCCGCCCACTTGAAGAGGCTGCCTGCTGTGCTCTTTCTGCTTTAACATTGTCCAGTCAAATGTGTAGTCATGTTGGTGGTTCAGGGTCCTGAAAAGAATGCGGAATAGCTGCCTCAGGTACATGTAATCCGGGGCTTCCTCAAAGCGCAGCCCGCGACAATAGTTTAAGTACATGGCAAATTCTGCAGGAAACCCCTTACATAAAACTTCAACAGATGTGGACATCTTCTTTTCGCTAATTTTTTCATATTTTTGCTTCTTTGTTGCAGCCTTTAGTCCTTGCCATGACAGGCTGGTTCTACTGAAATACATCAAAACATATCCTAGTGACTCCATGTCATCTTGGCAACTCTGTTCAATACCAAGATGTGCACTGATACTAACATATCGAGCAGTGCCAGTGAGATTTTTATCTTCTCTATAAGGTATGTGTTGCCTAGTCCTGTTGTCTCTGTACTTTTTGGCCAAACCAAAATCAATAAGGAATAACTTATTACAGTGACGCCCAATACCCGTTAGGAAGTTATCTGGTTTAATGTCTCTGTGTATAAAATTCTTTGTATGCACGTATTCAATTCTACTGATCATCTGGTCAGCTAACATAAGTACAGTTTTCATTGTGAACCTTCTTGAACAGAAATTGAAGAGGTCTTTGAGGCTGGGTCCAAGAAGATCCATGACTAGCACATTGGAGTCTTTTTCCTGACCATACCACCGTATGTGGGGGATGCCGACCCCACCTTGAAGAATCGTATAGAGTTTGCTCTCGTACAGCAACTGAGGATGCCTGGCCTTCTGAGATTCTAGCTTCACTGCCACTTCCTGCAGGGGAAAGAGGGGATGATGGCATCAACATCCCTATGGATTCAATGTCACTTGGGAAAGGAGGCGGAGACATTAGTAAAGATCCTACTCACGACTAGAAGGTGGAAGCGAGAGGCTGGGCAAGATTAACATTTAAACTGGTAGACTGAGTAAAGCAGATTGCCTTCCCCCATGTGGACAGGCCTCATCCAATCAGTTCAAGGCCTGAATAGAACAAAATATTGACCCTCCCCCCAGCAAGAGGGAACTCTCCTGCCTGACAGATCTTTGACCTGGAACATTGGCTCTTCCTGGTTCTACAGGAGTCTGCCGGCCTTCAGACTCAAACTGGAACACCAGAGTTAGAGATTTTGGGCTTACCAACCTCCATAATCATGGAGACCAATTCCTTACAATAAACCTCTCTCTCTCTCTCATTCTATTCTAGTCATTCTATTCATTCTGCTTCTCTGGAGAACCCGGATACAAAAGAACACTCCCAAGGGAAAAAAAGGTACAGGAGATTTATAAACCTCAGGTTTAGAAGAGACTTTCCAGCCTTGAAAAATGACGGTATGAGGGACCTTCTGACAGAAATCTCAAACCTCACCCCAAATCGTGCCTCAGAATTCTCTGGGGCCCTGACCCACTCTCAGGGATCCGAATTAATCTGTGACAATGCTAAGGCACTGATATTTTTTTTGAAGCTTCCCAGTGATTCTCATACATAGTCAGGTTGAGAACCAACAAGTAAGGAAAAAGACTATGTAACTATGTAAAATGAACTACATAAAATGTAGTGCCTGGAAGACTTCCAGGTTTCAGATAGCAGACTAAAGGCATTCCTTTCTCCCTCTCCTCTCAGAAATCACCTTAAAACAGTAAGAATGGAAAAACAGAAATACAGACTCCACTTCTGAGGAAATTAAGAGCCATCTGTAACCTACAGCATAAGAGAGCAGGTGGAAGAAGATGCTTGATGAGGCAGAGGGGAAATGTACCTACCTGAAGAAAGGGTGCCAACTAGAAGCAAGGTATTTTCTAAGCAGGACTCTTAAAATGCTCAGAAACTGGAGGCACCTGGTACCACACAGAATGGGGAATAAACTGTGGAGCTAAATCAGAGAAGTTGGCTGAAAGTCCATAAATGGAACGCTTTAAGCCTGTACTGATCCCTTCCTCGGGCAGCGAACAGATGATGGACCTTCCCCACCTCCAGGAAGTTTAGTCTCTAGAGAAAGTGAACCGGACAGACCCCAGGCCCCTGGTACCTCCAGGAAAGAGTGGATGAAATGCAGAGCCCAAACCAGGGGCTGATCCAAAATCTGCACATCGAACCATGGCACCTTGCCCTTGCTGGACTGCCAGAGGGCTACAACCTGACTTATAACCTCAGGCAGGGGACTAACTGCTTGGCAAAGTGTCTAACCTGGGATATTGAAATGTGAGGAACATGTGCTCTTTGACAGAAATGTGGTTCAGGAGAAAGACAAGAATCTGTACAACTTTCCCCATGAAGCTTTAGGCACAGTAGAATGAACTCCTTTCCTTGCATGATGAGAGAGGAAGTCTCCAACCAACTTGTTAAGGAGAGTTTATCTGCTGGGACAACTGTCAACACAGACACAACTGGCCTTTTGGGAAGAAAATGCCTTCTTTGTTTTTTAATTGAAGCATAGTTGATTTGTAATGTGTTAATTTCTGGTGTACAGCATAGTGACTTTTATATATATATATATATATATATATATAAGAATATGAAAAGGAATATATATATATATATTCCTTTTCATATTCTTTTTCATTATAGGCTATTCCAAAGTATTGAATATAGTTCCCTGTGCTATACAGTAAGATCTTGTTGTTTATCTATTTCATATATGGTAGTCAGTGTCTGCAAATCCTGAACTCTCAATTTATCCCTCTACCCTAGCCCTTTTTAAGTTTTAAATATTCCTGTGTCCAGGAAGGAAAATGAGTCATCAAAAGGGCTCATCTCGATCTTAGGATAAAGTACCAGGAGCCTCGAAGCCCTGCCGTGCTCTGCCCCTTCGGTCCATCTTTCACCCCTGTGACTCTCCCAGACTCCCGCTCCAGCCAGACTGAAATCCTTTCAGCCCTTCCCACATCCCAAGCTCTCTCCTGCCTCCTGGCTTTCATCCCTCTCTTCTCCGTCCCTGGAACCATCTCTCCACCCCTACTTCCTACTTTTTCAAAATGGTCCAGAAGTAAAGATGAACTTTGGCTCCTGTGGTAGAATGTAGAGAAAATTTAAGTGATGGTTCTCAGAAAGTAGAACTTTGCATGTCTAATTTCTACAAATCATTCATGTCAGCCACTGAGAAACTTTGTCTTCTCTCCCTCACCCCTCAGAGTGCCTTCCCTGCAGTAACTCCCAGCAGCTTCTCATCGTGCAAGGAAAGGTTCTCCTCCCGCGGCACCTGAGATGTCATGAGGAAGTTGGTGAAGGCACTTGTCTCTCTCCCTGAACTGTGAGTACCGCTGTGCTCTACATACGTGTAAGGAGATGTAAGGAAATGGAAAAAGGGCGTGGAGCAACTGCTCAGGCTGGAGCCAATGGAGTTATCCACCTGAGAGAGTTCTGGGGGCTGTATCAGAAACACTGGTAAAAGTCCCAAGACTGATGGCCCATCTCACTGAATGGATCCACAGAAGCAGTTTCAAAGATGGGTGTGGCCCCATAAAGACAGGGGGAGGGAACTCTGAGGGTCTGGTTCACTGTGGGCCTCACTAGTAAGCCCTGGGATTCAGTGAGACCAAAAGCAACAGACAGTAAGTGGCAGGCTCCAATCACTAAGGAACTCAGTACTCCATCGCTGATTTTATTTTCATCATCTCTTTTTTACAATTCAGATTTTTTTTTAATTTTTCAACAAGTATTACTTTGAGGGAGGTGATTTTTTTAAATTGTTCTTGTGATAAAATACACATAGCATAAAATTTATAATTTTAACCATTTCACATCAGACAACTCAGTGGCATTTAATATCTTCACAGTGTTGTGTATTACCATTATCTAGTTCCAAAATATTTTCATTATTCCAAAAGGAAATCTCATAATTACTTATTAAGCAGCTACTTCTCAGTCACCAGTCCTCTCAACCCTTGGCAATCAAGTAATCTGTTTTCTGTCTCCATGAATGTGCCCAGTCTGAACTTAAATTATATATAAATGGAATCATACAATATGAGGCCTTCTGTGTCTGGCTTCTTTCACTTAGCATATTTTCTAGGTTCATCCAAGTTGTAGCATATATCAGTACTTGATTCTTTTTATGGCTGAATAATATTCCATTTTATGGATATACCCCATTCTGTTTATCTGTTTATCAGCTGATGGACACTGGGCTGCTTCCAACAAGTATTACTTTTGCAATCAGAAAAAAACCAATAAAGTTTACATTGTTGTTTTGTTTTGTTTTATTTGAGCTACCAAATGTCCTCTATCCAGGAGACAGATGGAAGCTCATGTTCTTTCTTCACCCACTGACCAAAGGCAAATGTTCTACTGTCTCAATCCTATGGCTCCTGGGTTTTGTCTGTTTTATTCTCAGTTTAGATTTTTTTTCAATGTTTCTGAAACATGAATTCATCTTATAATCTGTTTACTTTTATGATAGTGTTTCTTTTTCCTTTCTGTAAAGGAAGCTATGTCATCAATTTGAATAGCTAGTATTCTATTTCATCAATTCAAAAACACCACCAATGGTAAGACACAGTATTATTTTATGTACCACTAAGAATATAAAAACAATAGCAAGTAAACTATGATAGTGCTTTTTACTCCCCCAATTTCAGAGATGATAAAAAATTTTTTTAATCTTAGAATTGATGAAATGTGATCTTAAATCTATGTGGACTTAGAATCAAATATTTTACTTGTATTATCTTGCTAAAGGAAATGATGAGCAGAAGTAGACAAAGAAACAGCTATGTGTCCTTTGTGGCCCTTTGCCTCTAGGTATTTAGAGGAGTTGCGGACAGCACAGCTTCAGGAAAGGCTTTTAGAAACTATCTAAGTTATCCTTACTCTACAGATGAGGACCTGTGGGCCCCAGAGGTTCGGCTTTCCTGCATCTCTTTCAGCTGAATAGAAACCCAGTCCTCCTGCGGCACACAGGTTCACACAGGCGCACTACATAGACAATCCTAACAGCTCAATAAAATCATGGCACATCTTACCAGGAAAAACTGTTAAAGACTTTCAAATGGCCAAAAAGGACTACTCACTTACAACCGCCTTTTGTTGTCTGGGAGCTATTCTACAACTACGTAAATTGTAGAAATTGATAATAATGCAAATTCCTTGTATCCACAGAAATGCAAACAAATTGCATCCAGTGGAATGCAACTGATTATTGCCCTCTAGAGAGTGCAGTTTTGCATCTACTTGTAAATTTATTACAGCTTTTGCTGTTGTCCATGTATGTGTAGTTCTTCAAATTCCCCTTGGAGCCAAGTACAGCATCTTACTGGTTTCCTCACTCACGAGATTCACTAAACAAAGATTTAAATACAATCTTTGACACACATTCATTTTATATTTGTATTAAAATCCTAAGTTTACCTTTGAAAAGTTATCCATTAACTATCTGCAAGACAGAATGTAAGTCAGCCATTAAAAGTTATCTTTATTCTCAAAAAACGAAAACTAGAACTACCATATGATCCAGCAATCCCACTCCTGGGCATATATATATCTGGAGGAAACTCTAATTCAAAAAGATACATGCATCCAAATGTTCATAACAGCATTATTTATAATTGCCAAGATATGAAAACAACCTAAGTGTCCAACAACAGATGACTGCATAATGAACTTGTGGTATATGTATATACCACAGGGTATATATGTATATAGTTGCAGTGTATTATGCCGAATGAAATAAGTCAGACAGTGAAGGACAAATACTGTATGATATCAGTTACATGTGGAATCTAAAATCTAGTGAATACAACAAGAAGAAAACAGATTCTCAGCCATAGAGAACAAACTAGTGGTTACCAATGG